TGGGAAGAAAAAGAGGCAGACGCATGTCCAGAAAGAGTAGAACAAATTAGCTCTGGGACTTGGAAAAAATGCTTTCTCTCAGGAGGAGGAATAGGGCAGACAGTGAGTTCAGTGTGGGTCATCTTGAGGCTATATTATTACCTGGATGAAGTTTGATAACCAATCAGGTGGGCATATTTAATAGCTAATTGGGTGATCAGATCCAGAATCTAAGGGAGAGGAATGGCCCAGAGATGTAGATTTGGGAATAATTACTCACCCTTGCAACTTTGTGGGCCTCTGTGAATTGAATATGGCAGAAAAGGGTCTGTGTGACTTCTGAGCTAGGTCATAAGGTGATGTGGCTTCTGAGTGGCTTTCTATCAGGGGATATTCACCTGGTGATAAGCTACCATGTGGAAGCCCAGACCACGTGTGGAGGCCGTGTAAAGGTGTTGTGGCTAACAACTAAGATCTAAGCTTCAGCCATCATCAGCTGCTAGGGATGTGAATGAATGAAGCTCCAGGTGATTCCACCTCCCAGATTTTGGGTCTTCCAGCTGAGAGCCCGTCATCACAGAACAGAGAAAAGTTGTCCCCACTCTACTGTGAATTCCTGATCCACAGAATTTATGAGCATGATGAATGATGGTTTCACACCAGTTTGGGGTAATTTCCACAGTAATTAAACTTGTATAAATTTATGGTATGGGGGCACCTGGGTGGCTCAGTCAGTTAAGCTCAGGTCATGATCCCGGGGTCCTGGGATTGAGCCCCACATCAGGCTCCCTGCTCAGTGGGGAGCCTGCTTCTCCCTCTCCCTCTGCCATTCCCTCTGCTTGTGTGCTCTCTTTATCTCTTTGTGTGTCAAATGGATAAATAAAATCTTAAAAAAAAATAAATGTGGGTGCCTGGGTGGCTCAGTCAGTTAAACGTCTGCCTTTGGCTCTGGTCTTGATCCCAGTGTCCTGGAATCGAGCCCCGCATTGGGCTCTCTGCTCAGTGGGGGCCTGCTTCTCCTTCTCCCTCTGCCTGCCACTCTGCCTACTTGTGCTCTCTCTCTCTCAAATAAATAAATAAAATCTTAAAAAAAAAAATGTGTGATATGTAAGAATGTGTGTGTACAAGCAAATTTATACACAAAAGTATGGCCCAAGACCCTAGGACCTCCTGGATGAGAAGGGTCTCATATGCGTTTTCCCTTTGTTGCAATTTGATAAGCCAATTCACAATAAGGCATCAGTAACTGATAAATGGTAAATGGAATTTCAGTGGTAGTTTGCTAAGGGTGGGGATGCTGTTGAAGTTTCTGGGAACCCTACTGTCAAATCCTTTTCTCCAGATAACAGCATAGACCATAGGGCTGCTCCATTTTAGCTTTCTTCAATGTCTTTCTTTATTCCAGGTTTCTAGAGAAGGGATTGCAGTGGGGGTCTCCCGCAGTGTCCCAATGAGATATAAACTATGGGGAGATCCTAATGGTAGGAAGTCAGTGAAGAGAACCAGAACAGACTCCGAAACAATGTGAGACCCAGGAGAGAGGAGGCCAAGGGAATGGCATCTGTCCTTCCTACTTGGGGTCCAAACCTGAATGGGTGCGAGAATGAATGCCTCACTGGTGGCCTGCCCTGGCCTCTCCATGGCCCTTCTCCTGGGCCTGCAACGGAAAGTGCTTCCTCATGTCCTGCCTTTTGTTCCAGCCTGGGGCTTGGACATGGGAATCCTGCAGCCCCTGGACAGCCCCAGAGTTAGTGATGTCTCTGTCTTTTATAAGTGAAATGTTATTCTCATGAAGGCTGAGAGGGAGAACAGTTATTGTGTCTCATGCTCTGCCAGCTTCCTTCCCCATCTTTCCTCTTTCTCCCCACTTTCTCCCTCTTTCCACTGTCCTTTCGCTCCCTTTTCCGTTTCCTTCCTCACTGTCCTTTCTACCTCTGGTCTCTCGTCAGTTGTCATTTCCTTCTTTCTCTCTTGATTCTCTTTTTATTTATTTTATTTTTTTAAAGATTTTATTTATTTATTTGAGACAGAGAGAATGAGAGAGAGAGAGAGCACATGAGAGGGGGGAGGGTCAGAGGGAGAAGCAGGCTCCCTGCCGAGCAGGGAGCCCCATGTGGGACTCGATCCAGGGACTCCAGGATCATGACCTGAGCCAAAAGCAGTCGCTTAACCAACTGAGCCACCCAGGCGCCCTCTTGATTCTCTTTTTAAAGCCATTTATTTCAATTTGGGCACAAATGGTGGTAAGCTGAGGCTTGGGGGATACCGGTTCCCATTTGGTGATGATGGGATTATACTCTCACGAAGATGACTTAGGGGAAAGTGAAAAGTGAGGAAGTGTTTTTTTTTTTTTTTTTTTTTTTTTTTCAGGGTAGGGGTGGAGGGAATGGGAAGAACCTGTCTAATCAGGATGGGGTGAGGAACTTCTAGCCAACCTCAGTATCACCAGAGAAACAGTGGGGGAGGGGAGTAGGAGCACCTGCCTTCTGGGTCTTTCTCTGTTAGGTATAGGAATTCCCTGGCGAGTCAGCTGGAAGGGCCTGGCTGAAGCTGAATTAAATAAACACAGTCACCATAGGCACTATCGTGTCCTTAAAATAAATGCTTCATTGAGGTGTCCTCTGGGAAACCCAGCCCACATGGGCTGCTATTGAGTTTTCAGGTCACCTGCTCAGGGCAGGTCCCCCAAAAGCACAAAAGCATATACCTCAAATTTGATTTATTTCCAGATGCTTGATGGAACAAAGTTGGAATTTTGCCTCCCTGGCCTCTCTGGAGCCACAGACAGAAAGCTATTTTCTGTGGGACAGCTACCCAGAGCCATCTCTGTCAGACTAACCACAGGCTGGCTGTTTGAATAGATAGATGAATCAGGTCTATTTTCAGCTCTGCTCAACTCGGTCTGAGCCGGGAGATCGATGGGTTTAGACTCTGGCTGCTCAGCATCAGTCTGCTTTGGAGGAGGGGAATAGAAGTTCTGGATACAGGTCCCGAACAAGCCAGCCTCCCCTGCTTCCCATTCTGCCAGTTAGTGAATGAATTTGGCCGTTTGCAGGTTGAACTGGGTCCCCTTTCCCTCCCCCTCTTTTTAGCCCCTCTCCGAAGCTCGGTGGTCCTCCACTGTCACCCTTTTTGTTCTTTGGGACATTGTGGAGCAGTTCAGAGCTGGACCGCCACACTGAGTACCTGGGTGGTGTCGGCTTACCTAGCACTGGAGGCAGTGGTACCTTCTCTCACTAGTTCCCTAAGGAATGACACTCAGGTGCAGGGGACCAGTTTTAAACAGAACTCTAGTTGTGGAGAGAGCCAAGTGAGGTGGGCTAGGCACTTTTATGTGTTTCATTTTCTGTTTCCCTTTTTAAGGCCAAGAGCCTTTGGAAGCTTTTATAGCATTAACGATTTGGCTGAGTGCAATGATCTGCCTCCCTCAGTGGGCTGAGCTGGTGAGGGGCAAGCATCTGGCTTAAACTGATGAAAGGCAGAAAATTCAGAATTACTTCCCGATACTTTCTGCTTCAGTTTAGGATTCTTTAATGTGGCAGTGTCGGGGGCGAGCTGACAGAGGGCCCGCCAGGCCAAGAAATGGACTTACTTTTTGCGTTGAAAGCACAGTGCTCAGGATGGGGTTAGTGGGAGAGACCAGGTGATGAAGCCTCATCTCCCACGAGGTGGCACGGGCAGAGATGTGGGTCTTGGTTTTGCATGAATTCTTTTCTGATTGGCTCTTATGTCTTTTCTCTAGGGAACACCTATGGTCTTTGCTTTCTTTCTAACAAGATCCCTGACCATGGAGCCACAGGCCTGGCCCCTGGCTGGCAGTGCAGCCAGATATAAACAAGCTGAGGGAGAGCCTGGTGTCAAACATCATGTTTACTAAACAAAACCGACAAGTTATCATTGTTGCGTGAGGAAGCCCTGTAGCTCTCAATCCCCCAGAGCTGAAGAGGATCCATTTTATTGAGCTCTGTAATGACAGCCCTGGCTGGAACAGCTGGGTAGTTTGTATTAGCTCTAAGAGACTCGAGAGGGCAGTTTTTCTTTAGAAAAATTATGTTTTTCATTTAGACCAACAGCAGCCTGACTGTCTCAACATACTGTAATTTTAAAAAAAGTGGTAAAATCATAGCCCAGATTGTTCCCCCAATACTTAGGGTGGCCAGGATTAGCAAATAAAAATAGGGGATACCTAGTTAAGTTTGGATTTCAGATAAACTATAAATACTTTCCTAGTATAAGTATGTCTTATGCAATACTTGGAACAAACTTATACTAAAATTGTATTTGTTGTTTTACTTGAAATTCACATTTAACTGGATTTCCCCATATTTTATCTGGCAATACATGATTCCTTTCCAAACATCCTTGCTTGAATACCTCTGGTGACAGGGAACTCACTACCTTTCAAAACAATCATTACATTGTTAGACAGCTGTGAGTGCTAAAGAACTTATCAGTACATTAATGTGATATTCTCACACATTTACTCCTCATGTATACCTCTGGGGCCTCTTGGAATATGCCTAATCCATCTGTCATGTGACAGCCCTCTAAATATTTATTAACAGCTCTGTATCCCCTTGAATTTTTTCCTCTTCAGCCTGAACATCTCCTGCTCTTTCAATTTTTCCTCAAGGAATATAGTTTTGGGCATGCAGACCAGCCTATGAATATGCTCTGTCTTGCTTGTTTAGAGGTGGCCTGAATTATGGTTTTGACTGACATGGCTTTGTGCTTGTTGTTGAGAGTCCATGTCTACTATGTCAGGGAACTTATGGCCTCATGAGCCAGGCTTTGGCATGGACCCTTTTATGAAGCAATACTCCTGCTACCTGTCAGAGAGGAACTTAAGAGCAACTGGAGAAGTAGACACTCCTTCCTTGTTATAGACTGAATGTTTGCATTCCCCCAAAACTCGTGTTGAAACCTAATCCCCAAAATGATGATATTTGGAAGTGAGGCTTTTGGGAGGTGATTAGGTCAAGGAGATGGAGCCCTCATGAATGGGATTACTGCCTTTACAGGAGGACCCCCTGCCCCTTCTACCATATGAAGACACAGGGAGAAGATCATCTTTGGAACTGAAGAGGGCTCTCATCAGACACTGAACCTGCCGGTGCCTTAATCTTGGACTTCCAGCCTCCAGAACTGTGAGAAATAAATACCTATTGTTTATAAGCCATTCAGTCTATGGTATTTTTATTAAAGCAGCCTGAATAGACTGAGACACTCCTGTACTGTACACATCAAATCTGAATCTGGCAGCCCTACTCTTATTTTACATGACCAATGGGCAGTTAGGACATTAGTATTACCAAAAGTCATGTTAGGTATTAGCGAAATAGATTAATAAGAATCCACATTTCTGTTTCTGGTTAGATTGGAGTTGTGGATAAAAACACCAAGCTGGGCCAGAGATTTGCTACAAACCACTTGTGGGACTTTGGGAAAGTTGCTTCTCTCTCTTTGGCTCTCAGAATCTTCATCTGAAAAATGAGGCATTTGGATTGTTTCTAAGGCAGAAGAATGTCTCATAGAGGCTACAAGTGTGGCTTTTGACATGAAGCTAACTGTAATAAAATAGATGAAAGAAAAGACAAAGGAAAATGATAAGTGTTTTAGATCTAGAAAATTAAGCATGGACTGCTCATTGGTGCCTGTCTGTGAGCTTTTTATTGGTCCATGACAAGAGAAATACAGAAATGGAGAACTGTTTAAAACATTTAAATCTACTTGACATTTCTGTGGCATCCAAGTATAGGACCAGTGGGTTGTTTCACTGAATAGGGGATGGACAAGTCTGGGTACTACTGAACTTGTGGGTGGTGGATAGCATGTGATGTGAGCTCTATACCAGTCTCTTGAGGTAGAACCATGTCTTGGTCTGTAATGGAGAAATAAAGAAACAGGGAAATGCAAATCAAAAGCACAATGAGATATCCCCTCACATCTGTCAGGATGGCTAAAATCAAAAACAGAAGAAACAACAAGTGTTGGTAGAGATGTAGAGAAAAAGGAACCTTTGTGCATTACTAGTGGGAATGCAAACTGGTACACCCACTGTGGAAGACAGTGAAGGTTCCTCAAAAAATTAAAAATAGAATTACCATATGATCTTAGTAATTCCACTACTAAATATTTAACCAAAGAATAAAAAACCCCCACCAGTTTGGAAAGATATATGCATCCCTATTGTTTATTGCAGCATTTACAGTAGCAAAATTATAGAAGCAGCCCAAGTATCCACTGATAGAAGAATGGTTAAAGAAGATGTGGCATATATATACAATGGAATATTATTTAGCTATAAAAAGAATGAATTTTGCCATTTGCAATGATGTGGATGGATCTAGAGGGTATAATAATAAATGAAATAAGCCAGTCAGAGAAAGACAAATAACAACAAGGAGGCTATGGGCAGAAGTCAGGAAAAGCAAATGCCAGATGGGCCTTGCTGGACATAGGCTTCATCTTTTGGCTCCTGGTCCTCCTTTATGAATGTCTCATCTGGCGTATGGCTCCATGGTTACCTCTGTGTTTGGGTTAAGTTAGTGAGAAGACCCGGAATGTCAGGTGAAACTGGCTGGATCTTGAGCTCAAGTCTTGGCCCAGGGAAGCCCTAGGGCTTGCCAGTAAAGCTATTGTCAGGGGAATTGTGAAGTTGGTAAATATCATCTACCACACCAGCCTAGGCTCTTCCTTTCTTTAGGCCCTGCCTTCCTTCCTTACACCCAAGCTACACCCAGGTCTCTCCTTCTGCCAGTCTCATTTCAGGAAAGATTCTGCTGAAATCCAAAGGACATTTAAGTGTCCCTTTTCTTAATGTCTCTTACAAGTAGAATCTTGTTTCTAATTGAGATGAGAAGTCTTACCATTTGAAAAGGTTTTTCTCTAGAAGGTGGAAATCCTTTTGAGGGGGATGGGTTTGTGTTTTTCAGTGATCTTGAAATAGTAACATGTGGCCAGATTCCTATGGCTGGAGCCCAGTGCTGCCACTTTTCTTTTGCCAGAAACATTCTAGAGATGGTCATTAGCTCCCTGGGGACCAGACATGGTAAATAAGAAAATCGCCTTGCAAATTCATATCATGTTTTGTAATTTGGACTCCCTTTCTGCTGGTATTCAAACAGCACCCACAACCACACACTGTTACCTTGAATTGGCATTTTAGGATCAGACAGGTTCAGAGGAACAATTTGATTCTTTCCCAGGCCTTTGCCAGCTTTCTGAGGGAGGTCTTCCTCCTTTTGATGCTACAATAGAACTTACAGTCTCCTGGGATGATGAATTCTAATCAATTAGTTGTTCTTGCCCTGGGCTTTACAACTAAAGCAAAGGGAGAGTTGAGGTAATTGTCTGAACAATTTGGGCAAAACAAACAACTATCCTCAATGGATTGCAAAGTTTGGTGTTATCCAAATAGAACAGTACAGTGAAACTGCTTAGTACTTTTTAGTTTCTAGGAGAGGTAAGCACCCTCTCTTTTTGGGATACTTCAAATGAACATGTTGAAACATGTTGAAACTTCATCTGAGTAAATTTAAAGATCAAATTGGCTTTATTCAGTGATTCATGAACCGGGCTGCATTTCATCTAGAAAACAGAAAGGAGCTCTGAGGAGCTGTACAAAATGGGAGACTTTTATAGGCAGAAGGGGACAGGGACAGGGAAAGAGTGGGTTACCTCACCTTTCTTTGGGGGCCAGAAGGAGACTACCTCACTAATGCTGACCAGGAAATTCTAGATTGACTGCTTTAAGATTATATTCCTAGGAGAGGTTGAAACTGCAATTAGGTTAGGTATTAAGTCTTGGTTTGCTGATGTGGGGCTTTGTGCAAGTGACTCCATTTTGGGTCTTTTTTTTTTTTTTTTTTTTTTAACAGACTAAATAAGCTTCTTTGGTTGTCCCAGTTTGCCTCCCTGGCAGTGGCACACAGAAAGAACCTCATGAATGTAATAACAATGGCGAATGTTTATTAGACTTTTATATGTTCTAGGCACAATACTAAGCGTTTTAAATAGATCTCATTTAGATGTTGTCACAATAGCCCTATTAACATCCCCGCTCAGCAGATGTTGGACAGGAGGCCAATGGAACTTTAACGGACTTGGGTGAGGCTCACAGCTGGTAAATTGCAGGGCTGAGTCAGCCAGTCTGACTCCAGATCCTTCTCTAACATGAAACCTCTAGGTGGGTTTATACGATGAAGATACTGAAATCCAGAGGAATTGTGATCAGATGAAGGGAGTCCAGTTCCTTTGTGGAAGAGGTGGTATGTCCACTAACTAGCTGGATGATATAAGCAAGAAGTGCACACCCTGGACCCTAGATGTCTCAGGGGTAACTGAAGGGATTGACTTTCATTTCATAATTTGTAAGTTCAACTCCGGTCTCACTTTCTGTGATTTTTAAAGTTGTTGGGGTCTGTGGTCCTCAGTATTCATGTCCTGAGCTCTGATTAGAGCTGAGCTCTGCACTATTTGAGCTCTGGTGTTCTTACAAGGAAGGATGAACTAACAGGGTAGGTTGAGTTTTCCTGTGGTAACAAATAGCCTTCAAATCTCAGTGCCCTAAACAACACAACATTACATCTTATGTACTTACATGTCCATTTCAGTGTCCAGGGACTCTAGTCCTCCAGAACTCAGTTAATGGGGTACCTACCATCTCTAATGGATCACTCTGTCCAAGGGAAAGAAAGCTCTGGAACGTATTACACTGGAAATTAAATTCTCTGGCCCATAACATAAAAGGTGCCATAGTCTCTCTTAACTCATTAACCAGAACTAGTCCCATAGGCTCATCTAACCTGAGAGGACTAAGAGGTACAATCCTACCATTTGCCCCAAGGGCAGGCAACTGGGAATATTTGGAGGATAGCATTAATGACCACCTAAAATATGTATGCTACAATGTCCCTTTAGGATCTTGCATAACTGGGGAAGATAGCAAAGTCACGAAAGTCTACTAGTCTTGCATTGTGGTTAGAGGGACAGGTTGGACAAGAGAACACTTTTCAATGAGATAATGGAGACTTGGTTGGGAGTGGACGTGGGGGTAAGGAGAGGTCACTCAAAGCCAGGTTTTCTCTAGGGTCACCTTGATCACATTCCTTCCTTTACTGTTTCTTGTAACCCACTAATTAAGATAGCTAAAAATGTTACCATGAGCTAAAGTCAACATCAATTAAAAATCCCATATATATTTCACGTGAAAGCATATGTTCTTCAAACATGTGTGATTTTCATCAGACCTCCTCATCTGTTTGTCATTTAAGGTCCAGGCCATTTTCCATATTTCTATCAAAAGCTGCCTGCTGTAGATGAAAGCCTGGCAAATAACTGTGTGCAAGGAACTTTCTGAAGTTATAAATAATCAAGTGCCTGTGGGGGGTTGACCTCATATACAATAATACACAGAGTAATGATCAGAGCTCAGGGGGAAAATGGAGCTGAATGATTGCCTTCTTAGTAAGGGAAAGGTTTCAGCTTTGCTTGTAATAACACGAGTGTCATTTTCCTGACACCCTCATCCTCTGACTGGAATAGGGCTGAGTGGAGCCATAAAGACAGTTGGGAAAGTAGCTGAAACACAGGGACAGTGGTTGATGGTAAGTGTTTAACAATTGGCTCTCTGGGGGAAAAAGCCCTGATTTGTCGTGTTTGCCAATTTCCATGGTGTAAATACCACAGCATGGCTGAATTTCAAGGTACCAACATGATGTCATTGAGCATGGATTTGGGGGAAGAGATGTACATGATTGGCTCTTGCAAGCCAGTATCACCTCGGTCCTCCACATCATGGAGCAGGGAAATGAATATGATTGCTTTTCTCCTGTCCTCTATCTACCGCTAGTCCCAAAATATGATGTTTGGACCTTCGGTGGCAGAAACTGTTTAGAGGAAGAGAATTGACAAGGGGGAGGCAGATCCAGTGCTAAAGAATATTGGTGACTCTCCTATTGTATTTGTTTCCTAGCTCTGTGGCTACAAATGACCACAAGCTGGTAGCTTAAAACAATAGAAATTTATTCTCTCACAATTCTGGAGCCCAGAAGTCTGAAATCAAGGTGATGGCAGGTTGGTTCCTTCTGGAGTCTCTAAGGCAGAAACCACCCTACCTTTCTCCTAGCTTTGGTGATTGCTAGCAACTCTTGTCATTTCTTAGCTTGTAGA